GGGGGGTTACACCCCGAAAGTCCCGATTCGGCTCAAAATTATGGATTTTTTGTTAGCTTCTTCAGCTTCTCTTATAACTATTTCATCGCATAAGAACCCCCTAAAGCCTTACTTTTTCCCATACCGGGCCTGTTTGTCACCAACATTTCCTCATAAAGTCAATCTTTTATTTTTCTTTACCGCCGTTTTCTCAACGCGCGGTTTTTCTATGTACTTTTTTTTAATAACTCCACCATTTTAAAAAAATTTTAATTTTCATGAAATTTACACAGAATGGAGAGAGAATGTAATACTAAAAATTGTATGCTGAATTTTTTATATATGGGATAGATTTTTGTTGGTGGTATCTGGACTGTGGATTTAAACGGATTTTTTACAAACTTGAATACTACCTCATGAAAAAGTTCATTAAAAACGTTCTAATTCGTTTAGGAAAACTTCTACAGACAAACTTGTAGATCGAATGTTTGCAAACATGCATGCAAAAAACCCCAATGTATTTCCATGAAAAATAAGTGCGGTATCTATTACGTACGACATGTCAACAACATCCAGTATGGCCGCCGTATCCATAGAAACGAATCTTTTTTCTTAATGATTGCGGATTTTCAGACTCCTTACTATTCTCGTTGTTATATGTGTGAAATTTGGTAAAATTTGATCTACTAATAAGGGAGACAGCACTCAGGTGTAGCCCCCATCCCCACCCCCTCCCTTCCCCCCTCATCCCTTTAAAAAAAATGCAGCTTGGTGTAACAGTTTCTAGTTTACTCACAAGTTAAAAGAGGGTAAATAGCAACGCTTTCGTTTGATACGGTTGTTGTGATGTTTGAAAGCAACAATCCACAGCATTAAATGATCTTCACTTTTGGAATTTTCAGTTCAGTTTTCTTTACAGGCAGATATACAAAATAGTGGAGCAATTCTATGGCAGTTGCTTTGTGTAAAAATAAGAAACGTAAAAGATGTAAAAAATTGAACTGGCATCAGTCTACAGAATGCTCTTGGTAGATTGTTGCCCTAAACTCGAGTCCACAGCATTTGGCAGATGAAAGTGACCTCAACCTTGAATAACAGGCCGGTTTTAGACAATATATGACCCCCCGGGGCAGTGCCACTGACTGTTGTGTCTTTAGGCCATTCCCAAAGGGGGGACATTTCTCGTTCAAGCACAGTAAATGGGCTGATTCTCATGTCACGCTCATAACTTTGCCTGATCTACAACAGGGAACTGCTGCTTTTTCTTTCCTAATCCTTACTATTGTCATTTTCCTCTACTTCTATTGTATGTTCGTCACACTCTTGTGACATGCTATTTCCGGGGTGCCTTGATAGCCAAAGCAGACTTTGTGTTGTTGAGGCTAGAGAGGTGAGAGGAGTAAGTCTGATTCCCTGTAAGGACTTCTCTGTTGACACCCACCCCTTGGCGCTCATATGATCTTATGCAGTTGCGAGCGCCGTAAAACCCTCTACTAAAAAAAAAAAAAAAAAAAAAAAAAAAGACAATTTATTTTTACAATAGATGACATATTTTCTCTCCAGTCTTTAGTTAAAAGATATATACCTCAAAGGCTGAGGTAATATTCTATGTACGATTTATTAACTTTATATATATATTTTTAAAAAAAATCAGTTTAAGCATCAAGTGTAGCATTTGTGCAATCTTAAATAACGACTACAGGAGAAAAATGGCGTAAGTTCCAATGTTAAAATTTTACATTTTTTCTGTTTTGATCAATTGTCCGGCTTGTTCCATTTTGTCCACCAATACCAGTTTTTGTTTGTTAGGAAGAGCTGTAGCCACGAGCTGGTAACACATTCCGAACAGTCGAATAAAGAAAGGGTGGCAGTAGTCCATATATGGACTTATGTAATGACGGTCATCTTCTTCAACATTTTTGATTTGACTAAATGTAAGAACGGTCATCTTCTTCAACATTTTTGATGTTACCAATGCCGTCAAATTGGTGGCAAGCTGTTCAAATGTTTTAAGCTCAGAGAACAATTTTTTCCAGGAAAGACCAAAAAAAAAAAGACAGAGCACAAACCAACAACAAAATGAACAAAGAATAGTTTCATTAAAAATAAAATCAATTGCATCCTTAGTATGTATGTTCTCTTACTTGTTTAACATATTAAAGAATTAATTATTCTACAAAATATTTCCCAGGCATAGCAACCCTCACCATAGATTAAGAGACATCAATGAAAAAAGTTAAATTGTTAATTAAATCTGACCAGCAAACCGATGAAATGCTTACATATTTCAATGTTTTGTCTCAATCTTTCCTCTAGACCACCCAGCAAAAGTACGTGAAGATCTTTGTGAACTGAACAGCCAGCAGTATAAGAAATATGGACACCACCAGGACATTCATCCCCTAGCTTATTTTGGCAGCGGCCCTAGTGATGTCTTACAGGGCATGGCGTCTCAATGTGACGTCATCAGAAATCGACGTCGGTAAGACAGCGCAAGTTTCCCTGAACTGTTTCAACCCCTATCAACAGCAGGACATCACGGACGTTCTCATGATGAGAATCGAGAAAAAACAGCTGACCGGATGGTCCAGTGGGGCGGAACTACGTCACGGCGATGTGGACGCCAGACTCACAGCCAATGACTTCACCGCCACGGGCAACATTGTCTCCGGGGCTAATAGCTTCATGCGGCTTACCTGGCCACTGGCAACCAACGACACGATCGGTCTTTACCGTTGCGATGTCACTTTTCTGAATTCCCACGGCAGCGTCGAGTGGCAGAAAGGCCTACCGACTTCCATCTCTCGTAAGAGTGACGTCACTGTTCAGATCCTGAGCGAAATGGTGGACGAGACCAAAAGACAGTGCACACGTCAAAAACAAGACATCCAGACATACGTAGCAGCGGCCATAGAGGAGAACAAAAGACACTGTCTAAAGGAGAAACAAAACATTCTCCAGAACATGACGGCCATGCTCAAGGCGCTAGAGGTGAGTTTCCTTAGCAGCAAGTTGGCTAATCATATTATAATTTATTCCATAATCCTGACCAGTACACATTTCTGTAAAGCGCATAGAACTGTGTGCACCACGGAATGCACACCAGAATAAGGGTTATAAAAGGATGGTGGTTGGTTATTTTTACTGTCGTTCTTCTTCTTCTTCTTCTTCTTCTTCTTCTTCTTCTTCTTCTTCTTCTTCTT